CTGAGGGTTTCAGGGGAAATGTGCTGAGTGTTTGCCACAACTGTGCTTCCAATCCAGAGGCCATCTGTGTTCCCCTTCCTGAGAGTAAACTTGTGGCTCACTGCTGGTGGGTAGTTTTCCAGTGGCACTGTGGGGTACCTAGGGATTTAACTACTGGAGTAGCTTTCTCCTAGACTTGGGTTAGCACCTTAGAGCACCTACCACCTACCTTCCCTTCTTTCCCTCCTTCCCTTCCTCTCTCCCTCCCTTCTTCCCTTCCTCCTTCTTTCCTTCCCTTCTTTCTTTTTTGGGGCTTTTCAAGACAGGATTTCTCTGCATAGCCCTGGTTGTCCTGGAACTCACTCACTCTGTAGACCAGGCTGGTCTCAAACTCAGATCAGCATGTGCCAACATTGCCTGGCTTCTTTATTATCTTTTCTGCTTTGCTGTCTTAAGATTTTATTAGTTAAATATTTGTTTCCTTCAGTCTCTGTTTGAGTGGTAGTATGTAGTGGACTCCATTGGAGAGACAGGAATTTCGATGTAGCACCCAGGTGGGGACAGTAAGGATTTGCTCCTCGCTAAGAGTAGAAGTGCTTCCAGTGGGATGATGATTAGAGTCTTAAAGGTGGAGGGACGTCAAGGCACCAAGCACAAGTATGCCTTCAGTAGCTGTGTCTCCTTGGAGTGCATTGCTTTCAATTGCTTCACTTCTTGTGACCTAGGAATGTCTTTATCTTCATCATAGACTCCATAAAAAATGAATGATTTGGGTGGGTACTGGAGAGATGACTTAGCAGTTAAAAGCACTTGGAGGGGGCCATTCAGTTCCTACTACCTACCCACAAGGAGGCTCACAACCACCTACCTATAACTCCAGTTCCACAGGATCTAATGCCTCTTCTGCCTTCCCTGGACATCAGGCACACATGTGCAAACATTCACACATACACATATAGAAAGAAAATTAAAACTATTTTAAACAAACATTAAACAGAGCCATTTCCAAACACTGTATAGATATAGAATTTGTAAGATAAAACATGCAGCATTCAGTGAGTAAGCCATAGTCTCAGGATCCTGTAGTAACAGGTTTCCATTTCAATAGCTGAGCTTGCTGTTTGTTTGGGTGTTTTATTGGATTCAGAAATAGAATTTGGTCTGTGCTGTTGTTTGCTTTGTTGGGTGTTGCTGCCCTCTGTTGGACTTTCTTGGAACTGCAGCTTTTCTGCATGATTTACTTCTGTTGTCCTTATTCCAAGTTGAATACCAAAATGAAACAGGGATTATTTTATTTTGTTTCTTTTAGTATACATATATATTTTGAAACAAAGTCTCATATATCTCAGTCTTTCCTTGATCTCACTGTGTAGTCAAGTTGAACAATGTTGAACTGATTCTCCTGCCTTCATCTCTCCATTGTAGATGTGCATTCACTGTGTAAGATTTATGTGGTGTTGAGAGCAAACACAGAACCCCCCTTTATGCTTGACAAGCATTCTACAAAATGGGCACATCCAAGGCCTGTAAAAATTATTTTTAAGGATCAGATCTCTAATGGTGCTCCAAGAAAACAAGGGAAATGGGCATTTTCTTTCTTTGAAATGTTTGTGAATGTTTACTTATCTATGGCAGAATTACTGTTAAGGAAATAGGAATAAGCAGAAGAATGTGGAACACAGATTTGGGGGCTTTGGGATCTGAAGATTTGTGATTGTGGGACTGATGATTCACTCTCTCTGTCTGGGTGTTGATTTCTTCAGTGCTAGAATGAAGCGGTGGAATAGATGTTGAGGGCTTTCCAAGGATTGGCTTTTTTAGGTCCCCGGCTCCATACTCAAGGAACTTTTTAGTCTGGAAGTAAGTAGAGCAGGCAATCAAAAGAAAATTGTAGCCCACTCTCAGTACTGTGAGTCAGACAGGTAGCTATTATTTTGGAAACTCCAGGAAAAGCAGGTGTCTAAGAGGAACAATCATCCTGCCAGTCCTGCTAGAGTTCATTAGCCTGGGAAGTACAGTGTAGGCTGAGGGAGGCAGCAGTCTAGGGAAAGGCTGGGTTGGTGAGGCACTGTGAGCTGTTTGGGCCTGCAGTTAAGTCAGCATGGCAAAAAGTAAGCATTTGGGAGAAGGTTTGTTCAGTGGCAAGCCTTGGAGGTGAGGGCAGCAGAGTCATATACCATGGTAAGGAGTTCAGATTTTAAGTTAAAGACAATGAATTTGTTTTGGGGACAGTCTCTTGTAGCCCAGGCTGGTGGGGCATACTCTGTAGCTGAGGATGATTTTGAATCTATTATCCTTTCATCTCCTCTCAAGTGCTGGGACAACCACAGGTGTGGCCCACCACTCCCAGCTTTAGAAAGAGTACTCTTGGATCCAATTTGGAGAATGGATATGGTGTAGGGCAGACAACTGAAGGCGCCTGTAAGAGGCCATTGCAGTGGAGCAAGCAGTGGAAACTGGTGGAAGAGAGATGGGCCCAGAGTCTGTACACAGAAAGAACAGGGATCTAGTTCCTTTCCTTTAACTTAACCCACTGCTGTCGATTGTCAAGGTCCAGGTTCTGTTATCAAATCACATTCACCCCAGAGTTCCTTGGGTAGTTCTTGGTTTTAAAGCGAACATTCTTAATTTGGGGACCAATGTTAAGATAAGATGAACCTTGGCTATGGCAACATAAGCTTCAGGAAAGTTGCATTCCCTTTGTGGCTTGTTTCTACATGCCACTAACATCACTTAAGCCTTACAGTGCTTGCATATAGTTACTGTCAGTTTTGGTGGGTTGACCTATAAAGCTGCAGCTTATTGCTGCTAACCCACCTCATGGGATGGTAACTTTTTCTGTGTAAGCTGGGGTTGGTCTTGAACCTGGTATGTAGCCCTGGCTTCCTTGAACTTTGAATCCTCCTGTAATAGCCTCTGGAATGCTGGACTCACAGGTGTGCACAACCACCTTTGTGTATCGGATGACTTTGAGATGCAAAATAAGGTGGTGCTATGTCATCCACCTGTCTGTACTCCTGATAAACAGTACATGTGACGCTCTATGGGTGCTGAGCAAGGTTCCCATGTTCTTACACAAGTGGGTAGTGCTCAGGCAGTGGAAACTTGACCTCCTCTGAACCCGGGGTGGGGGTGGGGCAAAATAAATATTCTTAGTTTACATTGAACCTAACTGAATTGTGATATGGGGACCATGATCACAGCATTGTGGATCTTCTTGCCATCCAAAGGTTAGATAAATGACTCTTTGGTGAAGACAGAATTGGTTTTCATTAGTTGATTAAGTTAGTTAAGAGGCATCTACCTTATCCTTTCATGGACAGTAACAATAATAAAAACATGGTTAAAGTTGAATAGAGTGAAAAAAAACTTCCCACTTTCTTAGACTTGAAGCATTCAAACTTTAAATTATCTCTGTCTGTGTGTGTGTGTTTACATGTAAAAGAAAATAGAAAACACAGAATAATTATAAACTTAACACATAATTACTGTCTTTGTCAAGCAATAGAAAATCATAAACACTCCAGAAACCTTTTTGTCCTCTTCCTTGGTCATAACCTATAGTTGTCACAGTTAATCACTGTTGGGCATTTGAGATAATCATGCCCTCTATAATTTTTGTTTGTTTTTGTTTTGTTTTTCTGAACAAGGGTTCTCTATGTAGAACTCCAGCTGTCCTGGAGCTCACTCTGTAGATCAGACTGGCCTCAAACTCAGAGAGTACTGGGATTAAAGGTATGTGCCACCACATCTGGCACTCTTTTGTTGTTGTTGATTTATTTATTTGTTTGTTTTTATATCCCAATCAAAGTTTCTCCTCCTTCCCCTCTTCCCAGTTCCTCCTTTACTCTGACCCCATCCACTTACCTTCCACTGTTTCCAGGGGGTGGGGCATGGATACCAGCTAGCCCAGGTATGTCAGTTTCAGTGAGACTATGCATCTTCTCTTCTGTTAAGGCTGGATGAGGCAATCCAGTAGGAGAAATGGGTCACAAAAGGTGGCAACACAGTAAGAGGTAGCCCCTGTGCTCACTGTTGGGAGTTTTACACAAAGACCAAGTTATACAACTGTAACATGGGCCTAGGTCAGTCCCATGCAGACCCCCTGGTTTTGGGTTAAGTCTCTTTGAGCCCCTATAAGCCCAGATTGGTTGATTTTTTTTGTGGGTTTTCTTGGGAGTCCTTGACACCACTGCTTCCTACAATCTTACCTCCCCTTCTTCTGTAGGATTCCCTTTGGGTCTGTGCATTTATTTCCAGCAGTTGCTGGGTGAAGCTTGTCTGATGACAGTTGGACTAGGCATCAATCTATGAGTATAGCACAGTATCATTAGGAATCATTTCACTGACTTTCGTTTTGTTTTGTTTTTCAAGACAGGGTTTCTCTGTATTGCTTTTGAACCTGGAACCTGTCCTGGAACTACCTCTGTAGACCAGGCTGGCCTTGAACTCACAAAGATCCTCCTGCCTCTGCCTCCCAAGTGCTGGGACTAAAGGTGTGCACCACCACCGCCTGGCCACCACTGAACTTTTAACCCATTCTCATTTCCCTTCCTTTAAAGTTTTGACAGAGTCTTACTATGTTTCTTGGGTCTGCCTTGGATTCACTGGTTAGCCCACACAGGTTTTGAACTCACAGTACCCCTGCCTTAGCCTACCGAGTAGTTAGGAAGTAGTAGTGTAGGCTTGTACAGTTAAACCAGGCTTCAGTGTGATTTTATTTTGTGTTTCCTTGTTTACTAATGAAGTGAGCACTTTTCATAAGTTGGTTGGTCATTGGTTTTAGGATCTGTTCAATTCTCCACTCCCCCACCACCTAAGTCTTATGTTACTGTTCTTATAACTTCTCTTGCCCCTTACTAAGCCACACCTTGGCAGAAATTTTAGTGTGTGGATGGTAGCTTAGGGCCTTTCTATTTATTTTCTTTTCCTTTCTCCTTTCAACCATTCTGGTGTTTGGGAGTTTCCTTGATATTTCACTGATCTCTTTTTCTTCTCCTCGTTTTTTCTCTGTTTCCTAGACTTTGAAGCGGCTCATGGCAGATGAGGTAAGGAAATGTGTATGGGGCATGTGCATGCTCTGGCTTGTTTTCTCTACTCTTAACATTCACTAGTTTCTGTAACTTTAACTTGTAATGGAGCATGGGTTCTAGTGTCAGAATACCCCAGATCCTTTATAACTTTGTTTAACCCATTGCATGCTTTCCTTGATGTTTTTTTTTTTTTTTCCTTCCACAGTTGGACAGTTTTTTAAATTAGAACTCTTGCTGCATTCTAGATGCCACTTCATCATTTGAAGCCCCACAGTGTGTTTTTTTTTTTTCTTTTTGCATACGGTTACTGATATTTTCAGTGGGTTGAACTGATTCAGCTGAAGCTTATTGCTTCTCCCACCTCATCAGACAGTGTCCCTTATGTAAACCCAGGTTAGCCTTAAGCTTGATATTAGCTCTGGCTGCCTGAACTTCAGCTTTAACCTCTGGAATGCTGGGATTACAGGTGTGTGCCACCATACCTGACTCTTTGGCTCTTGTTAGAAGGCAGCTCTGCTCACCATTATACCACTAATGCTGCACTCCTTGGTGGTCTTTTTACTGTGAGCATTTGTACTTAAGGTTTGAGGATGGTTCATTGGTATTTGTTTAGCAGGGAAATATAGTATGTACCTCTAAAGTAGAGTATATTCTCTGCTGAGTCATGCAAAGAGATTTGAAAGAATATGTTTTGATCTCTGGCTATTTTCATATCTCAGGTGCCATGGAGCAAAAGGAAGAGAAAGGAATAGTTCTGGATTAAGACATTTGCTTCTTTATCCCATATGGCTTATTTACCTTAAATCCTGTGGTTACAGATACCTCTTGAAGGGAAAGATCCTCATGGACCCTAGCCACAATTATCATTGGGTAGCTAGAAGGAAACAAAGGATATTTTATTGAGATAAATTTGTACATGAGATGTTTTTGGTTCTATGCTGCTGAGAAGAGTTAGAAATAGCAGAGGAAATTTAGAACAGTTTTCTTTTTAGAGAGCTTTTAAACTTGTGTTTGTTTTTTGAGACAGAGTTTCTCTACATAGTTCTAGCTGTCCTGGAACTCACTCTGTAGACCAGGCTGGCCTTGAACTCAGAGATCCACCTGCTCTGCCTCTTGAGTGCTTGGATTAAAGGTATATGCCACTCACCACATCAGCCTAGAGAGGTTTGAAACCTTAATGCAGCATTTTCTGTCCCTTACACTTTATTATAGATGAGAATAAAGTCAGTATGCTGTGTTAGATCTGAGGAAAAATGGTGTTTTCTTTTTATGCCATATAAATCTTGACTGCATATACTAAAAATACTAAGCCGGTGTAAGAGGGTAAAGTGTTGGCCATTTGGTATTTGGTTTGTTAGGTGAGGAATGTGGATCGCTGCTAATACTTCTTTGTGTTTCTTAGCTGGAGAGATTTACCAGTATGAGAATTAAGAAGGAGAAGGAAAAGCCCAATTCTTCTCACAGAAACTCCTCTGCATTGTGTGGAGATGACCCCACTGTGCTGCCATTGCACGACATCACAGATGAGCAAGTCCTTGTCTTCTTTGAGCAGATGCTGGTAAGTCACCTCCCAAGTGATGCTGCTGCCTTCTTAGCATGTGATGATGGGCATTTGTTTGTCTGTGGTGGTTGATTTTCAATGCATGGTCTCCAAGTTGATGTTTACTGTGAAAGAGTCTAGACTTAATATGAAATATTCTAATGTTAATCCCATGAAATAATGACTGGATATGTAAAATCCAGTTCACAGGATTAAATCCTGTGGGTTCAATTTGGGAATATCTGATTACTGACTACCTGGTTAATGGGTGTCTGCCTGGCACTACTCTAGCCACAAAAATGTAGTGTGAGTGGACCAAGCCCTGTGGTAATGTGGCGACCACTTTGAGGCTAAGTCAGAGAAGATGGAAGCATTTACAGTGAGCTCTGTACAAAGAATAACCTGAAGAATACAAAGGCATCATTTGCCTGAGGTCCTCTGTTCAGTGGGGAATTTGGAAAGAGAATGCTAAAGCCAGCTTCCTGAATAGAAAGGCTTTAAAGATTGTATTTGAAGTTGGTTTAATTGTGAGCTATGAATGGATGTGACTTACTCTGCTATCTCCAGAAGAGGGACACTTTGAGTAGACATTCTGTAATAATCAGTATAAGTGATTAGGCCTCAGAATTTGGGCAGATTTTTTTGTTTTGTTTTGTTTTTAATGTTAGCAGCTCTCCAGTACTGGAGAGATGAAGATCTTCCTTAAATGCAGAAAATATTATGTATGGTTTCCTCTCAGTAATACAACAGAAAATGTATCAAGAGCCCATTGTTTCCCAGGGGAGCCATCAGAAGTGTAAATATTTTAAAATATTCAGTGATTTAAAGACATAGCGCAATGGTAGAATGTATGTATACCCAGCATGTATGCCAGCATGCAGGCATCATACCAAGGGTAGTGTCTGTGGGGATCTGTACTGAAATGAATTAGATTTTGTTCCTGAGGAATTTTTATTAGTTACCATAACTTAAACTCTAGGAGTCAAGAAAACATATTTGTTCACTAATGATTTAATGTGTTCTACTTATTACTAAATATAACAAATATCAAACACTAAAAACTTAAAACAGGCAGGGGGAAGTCTGTGAGCTCCAGGCCATCTAGGGCTACATAGTGAGAGCCTGTTGCCAAAAAAAAAAAAAAAAAAAAAAAAACTTGAAACTTTATTTTTTTTTCTTTCTGCCTCCCTGTTCCCTCCCTTTGTAGGTGGATATGAACCTGAATGAGGAGAAACAGCAGCCTTTGAGAGAGAAAGACATTGTTATCAAGAGGGAGATGGTGTCCCAGTATTTGCATACTTCCAGTGCTGTAAGTTCTAGGGCAGTTGTTGACAGGAGGCTGCATCCTTACCCTGGACCTGCTTATTCTGCTCATTTTATAGACTTCTGTGTCTCTGTCAATTCTGCCTAATCCTGTTAGATAAGCCTATTCTTGACTTACTCTTACTTGAGTTACTACCTTTCTATACTTTTTTTCCCTGACTTATACTTAAGTTCATGGACTATTTATGAATCTCACATAGTTTGATAGTTTATATAATGGATGTCTGCCTTGGTAATTTTTAAACTGTGTTGATGAATATTATCTCACTACTTATGACTGGGCTCAGTGTTTACTGACCTCTCTATATATGCCTCTTTCCAGGGCATGAACCAGAAAGAGAGCTCTAGGTCTGCCATGATGTACATTCAGGAGCTGAGGTCAGGCTTGCGGGATTTGCATCTGCTTAGTTGCCTTGAGTCTCTTCGAGTCTCTCTCAACAATAACCCTGTCAGGTGAGAATTCTGAGGTAACAGTACCAGAAACTCATGCTGTAGTTCACAATCAAAGGAGGCAGAGAAGTATGAGAAAGGAAGGTCTGGATTGGGAGTAAAGGGTTTCTAGACTAGATTTGGCTTTTATTGATTTAAGTTGATATACTTGCCTCTCATCTATTCCTTGCAGTTGGGTGCAGACATTTGGTGCTGAGGGCCTAGCCTCCTTATTGGACATCCTCAAACGACTCCATGATGAGAAAGAGGAGACTTCTGGGTAAGGAATTTGGGGTCTTTATGTTTTCTAGGTTAAGGGAAATAACATCAGTTAAATTCAGAGTCATGGACTAAGGGAGTATGCTGTTAGATGAAAATGAGGGTTATTGTGGAGGAGATTAGAGGATGGGAGTATAGAGGGAAGAAGATATGTACCAGTAAAGATTATTAGTCTTCAGTTCTTTTTCTGGAAAGAGGATCTGATTTTGCCTTCAGCTGTACTGTGATCTGGTTTGGGCCACATTACACTTGGAGGTCTTTCTTAGAGTATACTTTATTAGTTTGGGTTTAGCTTTGCAGCAGTCTTCAGGATTAGGATACATTCTTGAATACTGTAAACCATTTTAGGATGCTGTGCTGCCATCCAAAGTGCCTAATACTTCTGGAATCTTTTCTGAGACAAACAGTACAGGGATTGTGTGTGTGTGTACTTTATCAGATATGAAGCCTTTCAATTATTAGGCAAGGAGTTATAGATAGGATAGTATCTTGATAGAATTTAGTACCTAGCTGCATAAAGGGAATTAAGGGATGAAGTTTTGTTTGCACATTTAACACACTTTTTAATAGTGTTAAGGTTCAAACTTAGGGCCTTGGACTTGCTAGGCAAGTGTTGTACTATTGAGTTATGCCTAATCCCAAATTGGCAGGTTTCTAATTTAATATTAAATTCTCAAATTGCAAGTGTATTGGCCAGTTGATTATTTTTGTTAGTGTTCCTGGGTCAAGTGCTTTGTGATGTAGGGCTGTACTGCCTTTTGACATCACAGCATAATGCTGTCATCTATGAACATTCTGGGCTGCCCATTCATTAACTGTTAGATTTGACTTAGCTGCTAGTTGAAGGCATTCCTAATGTCCTTGTGTGCAAGGTTGAACAATCATATGGAAAGAGAATGTGTAATAAAATAAAGGGACTTCACTGATGGTGCTTTCTGTGTGTAGAAGCTACGACAGCCGGAACCAGCATGAGATTATCCGCTGCTTGAAAGCTTTCATGAACAACAAGGTAAGATTTTTCCCTATTTTGGCCCCAGCCATCATTTAGATCTTCATTATTTATCCTCCTCCTCCTGCTAGAAGAAGAAACCGAGGCTTGAAGCTTTGGCTCTCCTTTCCATACTGTAACTGTACTTTACTACCACAGATATAAGACTCCATGGAATTCTTTCCCCTAGTTCTAATTTTTGTTTCAGAGGGTAGGCTAAGTGTTCTTGTACTTTATGTTCTTTTACTAATCTTGTTATTTGACCTGTAGTTACTGTTTGGAGATGGTTACTTTATTTCCTACATTAACTCTGTCCCAGTCTTAAGAAGTTCAAGTTTCCCTTAAGTTTGATTGAACTCTTGTTGCTCCACCTCCCAAGTGCTGGGATTACAGGTGTATGCCAGTATGCCATTTCTTCCAGAATATTCATTCTTACTTGAGATTTCTTTTCTTTTCTTTTTCAAGACAGGGTCTGGTCTTACTATACATCCCTGGCTGTATTGGAACTCACTATGTACACATGAAATTTTGTTGTATGTCTTAGGAAATTTACTTTGTTGTAATCATCTCTGTTCAGCTATTATTGGGAAAATATTCTCTACTCCTGTGCTAGTTTCTAGAGTCTACAAAGTGGGCATCTTAAACAACAAAAAATTCATTGTCTCAGTTCTGAAGGATGGAAGTCCAAGATCTCATGTCAGCCAGCACTGGTTCTTTCCGAGGCTGGGAGGAAGAATGTGTTCTGTGTTTCCATCCTGCTTTCCGTAGCTCACTGGCACTGCTTTATGGATGCATATTCTTATTTCTGCTTCATGTTTTTGTGATGTTCTCTCTCTCTCTCTCTCTCTCTCTCTCTCTCTCTCTCTCTCTCTCTCTCTCTCTCTCTGTGTCTGTGTGTGTGTGTGTGTGTGTGCGCGCGTATATATTGTAGATTTTCTCCCTTATATAGGGACCAGGCATACTGGATTAAGACCCTGCCTTGCTCTACTGGGCCTTCATTGTCATTTAGCTAAACTTATCTGCAACAACTATATCCCAAGAGGATACATTCTGGGGTCCTAGGGGGTTAACATTCTTACATATATTTAAGGAGATGACATTCTACTCATAAAAAGATCTAACCATGTCCTTGTTTATGTGTGTTGTCCTTAAGCCTCCCTCCTTTGTTCTTGTCTTACCAGTTTGGAATCAAAACCATGTTGGAGGCAGAAGAAGGAATCCTACTGCTGGTCAGAGCCATGGATCCTGCTGTCCCCAATATGATGATTGATGCAGCTAAGTTGCTGTCTGCTCTTTGTATCCTACCACAGCCAGAGGACATGTATGTGGCTGGACTTTTGTGCTTTCTCATTTTATCATCTTCTTGTAGCATAGAGGAAAGTTATTTCAGTGTGCTCCTGGTCTTAGAGGCTAAGTAGTAAGGCCATATTTCCTCTCAGAAGTGAATGTTAGGGTCTTAGCACAGGTAGAGTATTTGAAGATGCACAATACTTCAAACAGAAATTTTTGATACCATCATGATACTACAAGTAGAAAATTCCATACTGTGAAACTTGGTTATGTATACAGTAGTATTAGCAATACTGTATAAAACTACCTTTGGGCTATAAGGTATTTGAAACATGAGTTTCATGTTTAGGCTTGAATATCATCCTCAAGGTAAACTCATTTTGTATATGCAAATATTCCAAAGTATCTTTTAACTATAAGACATGATTTAAAGCATTTTGAAAAGGATAGTCGAGCTGACTTAAGAAATGATTGTAGCTGGCAAGATAACTCTGAGTAAAGGCATTTCAAGACCTATCATACTAGGAGAGAATGAATCCTAGTTATGAATACACCATGATACATGTCATAACACACATAAGTACACAAATGTACACAAATACAAATGTAATCCATTAATTGAAAAAAGACCAGTGAAATGGCTCAGAGGGTAAGGCACCTACTGCTAATAATGATGAATGATGACCTGAGTTCAATCCCAGGGACCTACTTGTCCTATGCATGTGTGTGCACATGTCCATGTACACACACACACACACTTTAAAAATTTAAGCTTCCTAAATGGCGATGACTGATGTGTCTATTGAAATCTATTAAGGGGTCAGAGAAATGGCTCAGGGGTTAAGAACCCTGGATATTCTTCTGGAGGACCCAGGTTCTATTCCCAGCATCCACATGATGGCTCACAACTATCTGTTACTTCATTTCCAGGGAATCCAATGTCCTCTTCTCATATCTGGGCACCAGACATGCACATGATACACAGGCATACACACAGGCAGAACACTCACATAAAGTAATAAATTTTAAAACAAGGAGTAGCAGGCTTATATCTTAGATGGGCTATTGTTGCTGTGATGGAGCACCATGACCAAAAGCAGTTTGGGAAGGAAAGGGTTTATTTGGCTTAACTTATCCCAATTTAAAGTCTATTGAGGGAAGCCAAGGCGGGAACTCAAACAGGGCAGGAATCTTCCTGGCAGGAGCTGATGCAGAGGCCATGGAGGGGAGCTGCTTACTAGCTTTCTCAACCTACTTTTTTTATAGAACCCAGCACCACCAGCCTAACCCTAACCCTAACAGACCTGCCCACAGCCCATCTTATGGAAGCATTTCTCAATTGAATTATCTCCTCTCAAATGTCTCTAGCTTATGTCAACTTGACATAAAAACCAGCCAGCATAGCTTATCTGCTACTTCTTCATTGATATCTGCTTTACCTGAAACAAAAGTTTCTTTTTTTATTGTCTCATACATACATACATACATACATACATACATACATGCATATATATATATATATATATAATTTTAGAAGCAGCCCATTATCTTAATAATCAGCAGTATTAGAAGTATATGAAGTAAAAATTTAACAGCCCATTCTTACCGCAAATCCTGCTTTGAAAAGAACCATTGCTAATGGCTTACATAAACATTTTGTTTTCTTGATTCTTAGAAATCTTGCAGTCTTAAGAGCTGAGAAATGATAGTTTATGCCCATAAACTATTACATATGTAGAACATATTTTTGATTTCCTAGAAATGTTAGTTTAACAAAAGTAAAATCACACACACCCTTTTTTCCAGTTCCCTAATCCCCTCCCCTTTGTGTTTTTAAGACAGAATTGTTTTTAGTCTGGGCTGGCCTCAAACTCATTATATAGACCTGGTTAGACATATATGATCTCAGCCTCCTGAGTCCTGGGATTACACTTGTGTGCCACCATATTCAGCTTCAACTTGATTATTTTTATTTAACAGTAGATTTTGGACATCATTCTTTATTGATACTTAATAAACTTGCTTTATTATTTTTAATGGCCATGTAGCATTTTGTATGTATGCACATAAAATACTACAAACTGATTCTGCACTCTATCTTGTTTATTTTAACACTCCTTCTATTTCTGGACTTTAGGTATTCTTAAGCAGATTCTGACTTGGTAGATAAGAATTTTTTTCTATTACCAATGACTCCATAACCAACATCTCTCTATATAGTTTCTATTACGTTTATGCATTTATATTGGATAGATTTCTAGAAGTGGACCACTTGTAATGTGTACTAGAAAGTGATTAGTACTCTTAGTATTAAATGGTCCTTAAAAAGAGTAATTCATGTTTCATACCTCAGAGGTCTTAATTTTGTATTCATGGTTAAGAGTTTAGGAAGGGTTTTAGGAAATTGTTTTCTCAAAAAATAGTCCATTGCTTTTGTCAGATTCTAGTGTCTATGGGAGTTAAGAGAATAATTTCAGAAACCTGAAGCATTGATAATGTCTAATTAGTGTATTTCCTGTTAAATCTATCCATGTCTGTGTCAGTGCACCTGAGCCACTTACTCTCCTTTATCTTGGACAGGAATGAACGAGTTCTGGAAGCAATGACAGAGAGAGCTGAAATGGATGAGGTTGAACGCTTCCAGCCACTGTTGGATGGGTTAAAAAGTGGGACTTCAATTGCACTCAAAGTATGTATATATATATACACCCTTGAAACTGGGTGAACAATAGAATAGAATAGAATAGAATAGAATAGAATAGAATAGAATAGAATAGAATAGAATTCAAAATGGAAAGACCAGAGTTCATGTGTTGTTCATTTTTCTGTGATATGGGAAATTCAACCTAGGACTTTGCTTATGTTGCGTAAGTCCCCTACTTCTGAACTACCACTGAACAAAGGAGCTGGGAGCCCCTTTTAATTTTTTATTTTGAGATATTTTTATTTTGTATTATAGTTTGGGCTGGCTTCAGACTCATATAGTCCAGGCTAGATATATCTGCTCCTCTTGCCCCCCAAGTTCTGGAATTACACATGTGGTAATTGCCCAGGAAAGCATTGGTGATCTTCCTGCCTCCTTAAGTATGGGCCTATACCACCATGTCTAGCGTCTTTTGGCCTTTTAATAGACTATATAGGGGCTGGAGAGATGGTTCATTAGTTCAGAGCATATACTGCTCTTCCAGAGGACCAAGTTCAATTCCCAGGACCCTTGTCAGACAGCTCACAACTGTCAGTAACTCCAGTTTTTGAGACAGGGTTTCTCTGTGTAACATTCCTGGCTGTCTTAGAACTTGCTTTGTAGACCAGGCTGGCCTGGAACTCAATGAGATCCACCTGTCTCTGCTTCCTGAGGGCTGGGATTAAAGGAGTGCACCATCACCACCCTGTGCTCTGGCCTCCTTGAACACTGGCATTCAGGCATTCATGTGTGCATACGCACGCATACATAATTGAAAATGATACAAATTTTTAATAAAAACAGTAGAGTGATTCTCAACTATGTTTTTTATATTTTAGTGGTTTTTTTTTCCCTCCTGAAAAAAAATGATTTTTTTTCTCTAAAAAATAAAGAACTACTTTTTCCTCCTTGTGATAGTGGGGGATAAACCAGTTATTTATTAGCACCCTATGAAAGTCAAGGTTAGATCCTTGGATTCATTTATACACTAAGTACTCCAGACTTGCACTCAATAATGTTTTGTTGCTCTAGTAAAATAGTCTTTCCTATAGTTTTTCTTATGTATCTTTTATGGAGCTCCAGAATGTACATAAATAGTGGAATCCTTATCTATAAGACTTATTTGTTAGGGGTTGGTGGGGGGGCAGGGGAGGAGGGGAGGAAGAGGAAACTGGAATTGATATGTAAAACAAGCTTGTTTCTAATTTAAATAAAAAAGACTTACTGTTGACATAGCATCTGGATTTACTTATTTCAGGTGGGATGCCTACAGCTGATCAATGCTCTCATCACTCCTGCCGAAGAACTTGACTTCCGAGTTCACATTCGAAGTGAACTGATGCGCTTGGGGCTGCATCAGGTGTTGCAGGTAAGATAAAACGTTTCATTAGAAAGTCTGGATTGTTCCTACCTGCTCACACAGCCCTGATCGTCCCTGAGGTGATTCTGGTTTTCAGCTTAAACACTAGGTCGGAAGGTTTGGATTTCTAGGCACATAGGATTCCCAGATTTCTTCTGTCGTTGCCAGGAGCTTCGGGAGATTGAAAATGAGGATATGAGAGTACAGCTATCCGTGTTTGATGAACAAGCAGATGAAGATTTCTTTGATCTGAAGGGACGGTTGGATGATATCCGCATGGAGATGGAATATCCTTTTATGACTGATGACTGAATTATGGAATAGTGTGGAAAATGATGACCTAGAACAGGGCATAAGGCTGGGTGTGGTGGTACATGCACTTAGGAGGATATCTTGAGTTTGAGGACAGCCTGGTCTGCATAGTGAGCTCCAGGCCATCTTGGGCTACATAGAGAGACCCTGTCTCAAAAACAATTTTTATTATTAATAAACAAAGCTGGTGTCTTCATATTGCTGTCCAGAAAAGCCAGTAAAAGTGATTCTTTTTTAACATGAAAGCATCCATTAACCTGGCAGCCAGTGAAGTGGTAAAGTAACAGATGTTACAACCAGATTGCCCTCACATCCTAAAGCATCCATCCAAATCTGTATGTTTCCTAGAACATGATAACTTACTGAGATGGGTGCTATATAGAACTCTGGACCGATAAGCAATATTACTATTAGTATTTCATTATCTGCCACATGTACCTTTAAGGTGGTTCTGTTTTTAGTTTCTGTCTTAGATCCTCAAGCTAAATACTAGGAATCCTGTGTCTATGGATAGTAGCACTCTTGGTTAAAGGAACTAGTGATGTTTTAGGAACAGCTCTGAGAGTGGAAGTGGCATCTTACTACTTTTTGTTGAGTAAGCCATCTGTCAAGCAGTTTCTAAATATTTGATTTCCTTAGCCTGTCCTTTCTACTGACTTTGGTGAAGTCTTCCAGATTCTTTTAAACACAGTGAAAGATTCAAAGGCAGAGCCACACTTCCTGTCCATCCTGCAGCATCTCTTATTGGTCCGAAATGATTATGATGCTAGGTAAGCTGATAGACCTGTGGGAAATTTTGAGTCTAAGTGGAAAAGTGGTGTCTTTAAGTTCTAGAAAGTTTATAAAGAAATGAAAAAGACTGTGTTAGGTTCATTAGTCACAGATCTAAAGGAAGTTGTCAACTGTTTGATCCATTGATCAATTGCTTTAATTCAGTTAAAAGACACCTCTTTGGAATAGGTCATTGTGTATCAAGTATAGTGTCCTTCGAATGTAGTGGGTAAGATAGACGGTAAAGAGAGATGGTAACCTAAAATCCATCCTGGTTTCCTGTAGGTAGACATCAGCATTAGCCTGACAAGAAGGCTCATAAGAATCAAGTCTTACTATTTATTTAGATGTGAAACTATTGGCACTGGGAAGCAGATATTAAGAAAGTATGTTGGGATGGAGGGATTGCTCAGTAGTTAAATATGCATACTGTTCTTGTGGAGGACCCAGCAGTTCCTGGCACTCACATCAGCTTCACAAACCACCTGTAATTTATACATGTGCATATACACAGATACATACACAATAAATAAGTCTTTTTAAGTGTCCGTGGGTGCCTGCTAGGTTGCATTTGCATACGTGTGTGTGTGTGTGCGCGCGTACGTGTATGTGTAGACCAGTGCGTGTGTGTACACATGTCAGCATTCATGGTTTCCGTATGCTGAGTACATGATTTACCACTGGTCTACAGTCCCCCAGCCTGTAGGAGTTGAGTATCTGAAGTAGAAAGAATGAAAGCTGATCTAGAAGAAGAGCATCCCCTAGCACAGCAGTGACACTTCCATTAGCTTCACCAAAGCTCTTTTCAGAATACTTGTTCTTAATTCTTTTTATTGTCAAAGCAGTTAACCTTTCTTGTTCCAGAATACTTCTGGAAGTTACATTTTGATAAGTCTGTTTTGTTTCTTTCATAGGCCACAGTACTATAAATTGATTGAAGAATGTATTTCTCAGATAGTTCTACATAAGAATGGGACTGATCCTGACTTCAAGTGCCGGCACCTCCAGATTGATATCGAGGGATTGATTGGTAAGCATGCTTTGCTACTTGGTTCCTGAAGACACTCAGTGCTTCTACTCTTTGTTTTCTTCTTTCAGTCAAAGAAGAAATCATTCTTGTCCCTACTTTTGTTCTCAGTATACTCTCTTTGTTAGAGTTATGTAGTCTCTTTATTTCTGCACAAATTGAAAATCTTGCCCTTTCTTACACACTGTTTTTTGCAGAGACTTCAGCTGTTTTCTGACCCTGCTGGTTTCAAAATCACAAATGTCACATAGGCATTCTTCATGTGATTGCCTTACCTTGCACTTAGAATTCATAGCTCGAGGGCCAGCAAAGTGTCAGTAAGTAGAGGTATTTGCATGCAAGCCTCAGGACCTGAGTTTGTGCCCCAAATTCCATATAATGGCAAGAATCACTCTTGATAGTTGTCATCTGACTTCTACATGTATTACATACACATGCCTATACTCAACACATACATATATACTCATATACACACAAAAAATAAAAGTTATATACATACAATTTAAAAAAGTATAAATTGTATTTAATTGAAACTTGCATTTCTTGTTCTAGTGTAGAACATTAAGAGTAACAGCAACAAAAGGATAGACAACTAACTAAGCCAGGCGTGGTGGCTCACACCTTTAATCCCAGCACTCGGGAGGTAGTGGCAGGTGTATCTCAGTGAGTTCAAGGCCAGCCTGGTCTACAAAGCAAGTTCCAGGACAGCCAGGACTGTTAGAGAAACCCTGTCTCGAAAACATACAAACAAAAAAGGACAAACAACTGCCCTTGAGTATATTGGAGGCTTAGGAGCAGGAGTGCAGGCTTGGGGAACTGAGAACTTTACTTACTGAGTTGTTTCCATATCACATTGTTTTTTCTTTTCAGATCAAATGATTGATAAAACAAAGGTGGAGAAATCCGAGGCCAAAGCTACAGAGCTGGAAAAAAAGGTGTGTGTGAGGGGATCAGTGCTAGAGTTCTTGCTTATCATGTGAGAAAGCTTAGGTTTAGTTTTTAGTGTTATCCACAAATATGTACATATGAAAAAATACACATATACACACAAGTAAATTTGGTGTGTTATTTTCCTTTGAAAGTAATTGTTTTTTGACATGTGAGACAGTATTGCCTATGATATTTTGAAAGCATTCAGAATCTAAAGATTCCTATGAGGAAATCTTGTTAATGGGAAAGAGGGTGTTGATGTGAAATGAGAAGCTAGAGGAGAGGAGATCTTGCAAGTGTTCTTGGGCTACCAGGCCAGATAGCAAAGACAGATGATACTCTATGTAAGTGTGCATCTGAAGTCTTACTCCAGGACAATAGGAATTGGAATATTTTTCAATTCCTTTCATTTCTGTAGTAATTAAGGATTAGTGCTGTGGCTGGAATTGGACAAGGCAGCTGGTCTGGTTTGTCTCAGTTGGGGTGACTATTGCTGTGATGAAACACTATGACCAGAGGCAACTTGGGGAGGGAAGGAAGGGTTTATTTCACTCACACGTCCATGTAACAGTTCATCATCAAAGGCAGCTGGGGCAGGAACTCACAACCTGGAGAAGGCAGGAACTGATGCAGAGGCCATGGAGGCTTGCTACTTACATGGCTTGCTCAGCCTGCTTTCTTAAAGTAGCCAGAAACACCAGCCTATAGAGGTGGTCCTGCCTACAATGGACTGAACCCTCCACACTCATCACTGATTAAGAAAATGCCCCCACAAGCTTGCCTATAGTCCAATTTTACAGGGGTCCCCCCCCCTTTTTTTTTTTTTTTTTTTTTTGGACTTTTGGGATAGGATTTCTTGGGCTGGAGGAATAGCTCAGCCGTTAAAGGCTAGGCTCACAACCATAAATATAAGAGATAGGATTTCTCCCTATAGCTTTAACTGTCCTAGAACTCACTCTTTGGACCAGACGGTCTGAAACCCCACCTTTCTCTGCCTCCTGAGTGCTGCCCCACCACTGCCTATCTATGGGGCATTTTCTCAAGTGAGGCCCCTCCTCTCTGGTGACTCTAGAAGTAGGAAGACTATGAATATGATCTCTTGTCTCCTCCCCCTTTTAACTTTGATGTTAAAGTCAAGATCATACTGTTCTTTTCTAAGTATTACTTAGGTGCATCAGTAAGCTCTATAGAGTAGTTTTTGAGACAAAATAGTGAATTACATGAACTAGCCCTTACGCTCCTAACTGGGATGAACAGTATCCTAGTTTGCTTTCTGTCACCGATCAACACCACTCCTAAAGCAACTTGGAGAGGAAAGGGTGTATTTCATCTTCCGATTGATAGTCTGTCATCAAGGGAAGCAAAGGTGGGAGCTTAAAGCAGATGCTAGAAGAATGCTGCTTACTGGCCTCTTACCATTGGCTTGATCAGCTAGCTATCTTTTTACACATCCCAGGTCTCCCTGCCTAGAGATGTCATAGCCCACAGTGGACTGAATCTTCCTGCATCAGTTAGCAGTTAGGAAGATGCTACATAGACATAACCAAAGGCCAGTCTGATCTGAGCAATTTTTCAGTTGAGGTTCGTGTTGTGTTGTGTTAACAGCTGAAGTGAGCACAGAAAGATTGTTGGGAGTCTGTTTTTTTTTTTTTTTTTTTTCCTTCCTTCTTTAGTTGGACTCAGAGTTAACAGCCCGGCATGAGTTACAAGTAGAAATGAAGAAGATGGAAAATGACTTTGAGCAGAAACTTCAGGATCTTCAAGGAGAAAAGGATGCATTGGATTCTGAGAAGCAGCAGATTGCTACAGAAAAACAAGATCTGGAAGCAGAGGTGTCCAAACTGACGGGAGAGGTAATGTTTGAGCAGGACAGCAGCATGCTTGCAGCTGTGTTGGTCATAGGGCCACAGGGTCATAGGTTCCCTGTGCTAGGGAAGAACAAGATCATCAGGTAGATGGTGTGTGTTGTAACAGTCATTTACTGGTTTTAGTCTTGAGAGTATAGTATATAAGACAAAACATTTAGAAAATACAGAAAAATGTCAAGAATGACACAGTCCAGAAATAATTAGTAAACTCTTGGCTTATTTGCCCATCCAACTTAATTTATACTTCTGTGACACCTTCATTCTCCTTTCTGTACAGTTACAAATGCTTAGATAACCCATAAAACTGCTAGCTTGATTTATTTGTAGTTGTGAGATTAACTGTATAGCACATCTGTTTTATAGTCAAACAAACTCAAAGCACAGTAAAGAACACGGAGACTTGAGTTCCAGTTTTACACTACTACTAAGTGTCAGTGTGACTTCGAGAAGAATTATGTGACCTGACCACTCAGTACATCTATAGTTGAACAGAAATTGGGATTCAGTGGTTTCTTAGGTCCTTTTCAGCTCCTGTAGCCTTTGAAGTGGGGTGAAAAGTACTTAGTCTGTGTTGCTTCTTTAGGTTGCCAAGCTGTCAAAAGAACTAGAAGATGCCAAGAAGGAAATGGCTTCTCTCTCTACTGTGGCTGTCGCTCCTTCTGTTTGTTGCAGTGCTGCTGTCCCTCCTGCCCCTCCTCTGCCTGCAGGCCCTGGCACTGTTATTCCACCCCCCCCACCCCCACCCCCACCCCCTCTTCCTGGTGCCCCTCCTTTGCCTGGGGTCACTGCCATCCCCCCACCCCCTCCTTTGCCTGGCAGTGCTGCTGTGCCCCCTCCCCCTCCTTTACCTGGGGTCACTGCCATTCCCCCACCCCCTCCCTTGCCTGGCAGTGCTGCTGTACCCCCTCCCCCTCCTTTACCTGGGGCTACTTTCATCCCCCCACCCCCTCCCTTGCCTGGCAGTGCTAGTATACCGGCTCCCCCTCCTTTGCCTGGAAGTGTTGGGCCCCCCCCACCTCCTCCCTTGCCTGGAGGACCAGGACTGCCTCCCCTCCCTCCCCCTTTACCTGGAGGCCCTGGCATTCCTCCACCTCCCCCTGGAATGGGCATGCCTCCACCTCCCCCCTTTGGATTTGGGGTCCCTGCAGCCCCAGTTCTGCCATTTGGATTAACACCTAAAAAAGTTTATAAGCCAGAGGTGCAGCTCCGGAGGCCAAATTGGTCCAAGGTAAGTTTTTCTCCAACATCAGATCTTGAACTACTATCCTTGACTTATTTTTGTGTATACATAGGCTACCCACTGTTAAGGCTCATATCTGTCCTTCAAGTTCTACTTGTGTTTATGTTTATATAACATCTCTATTTCAAATATTACCAAAGAAAGATCTTTGGGCCCTATGTGAATATACTTTAATTAAACTTAACCTATCTTAATACATTTGGCCTTTACTCTGATAAAGTGAGTACTATGGTAGTTTGACAGTTGTCAATTCACTAGGGTGCAAATAACTGAAATTGTGCTTGTATAGCCTACGATATGTTTGATGTGTTTGTGGCCTCTGTGGTTAGTTGGGTCAGTCTTTTGCTTCTAGAAACTAAGTTAAATGTAGCCAGATTGATGGGGGAAACAGAACAAGGAACATCGGGGGGGGGGGGAAGGTTTTAATGCTTATGGAAATAGAAGATTTGGGATTAGGGGGAAATCAGTATAACTGATTTTGATTCTTGACTAGTTACCAGTAAACAGATGAGAAGCATTATCTCCTGATCCCCTATGAAGGGCACAGCTATGGTCTGTGTCCTGAGTTAGTCACAGGCTAGTCAACACTGCTGATAATTATAGAGTCACTTTTCTAGCACAGGGAATTCAGAGTTCAGCCCAATAGCTCTTACTGCCTGTCTGTTAATACAGTTTGTGGCTGAGGACCTTTCCCAGGACTGCTTCTGGACAAAGGTGAAGGAGGACCGCTTTGAGAACAACGAGCTTTTTGCCAAACTTACCCTTGCATTCTCTGCCCAGAGCAAACGTGAGTGCTCTCCTTAGTTCCAGGCAGGGGAAGCTTTTCCCTTCCCTGGCCAGGGTAGAATGGGGTTGGGAAGAAGAGACATTTACTTTTCCAATATTTTTGTATTATGGGGTTTCTGGGGTTGAGAAAGAGAATTGCTGCTTATAAGTATTTTGTGCCAGTATATTGACAGGAATACAAGGTACCAAAGCTCATCTTAGGCCCATTTTGATAGTTATCTTGAATGGGTTATGGTTCTGTCTTAAAATAATGTCTCCAGGCTAGAGTATTTAATTAGTATGGTTATCAAGTACCTTGGACAAGTTGGGTGGCTGAGCTACAACTGTCTACAATATCTAAGTTCCACGTATAATTCCTGTTCTGCTTCTTTCCAATATCTGATGCTTTTTCCTCCTGGACCTTGGTTCCTGCAGCTTCCAAAGGTAAGAATGCAAAAGAACCTTTTAATTGGGTCTGTTGAGTATTAGAGAAAAGGATTAAATAAATGTAAAGGAATTTCTCTTTAGAGGATGGAAATTTACTAGCCCCACCCCCCCTCCACAGAGACCCTCAGTGACAGTGCTAACAAGTTGGTTCAAGTGGAAGTTTCATATACAGGTTCCCTGTTTGGTCCACATTGAAATCTTATCAAACAGTAGATTGTGTTTTTTTCTCTGCTGTAGCAAGCACAGACTGAACAGTTAGAGGTCTTTCCTGGGGTTATATTGCCAAACCCTAGTACTGTAGCCTGTGGTTTCTAATACTTTTTTTTTTTTTTAACCTTCAGTATGCTTGCCTTTATTTTAGGACTTTAGATTTTTATCAGGGAAGAGATTTGAGCTCTTAAAATTTGAGATGTAAGGAGGACCCAGATCTCTACAATATAACACCATGTTTACTTTGTTTCCAGTGATGTACACTGCACAAGGACATCAGTAAACACCTTGGTCCTTAATCTTTTCAGAAGTAGTTTTGAGTACCAGACTGAATATTGAAACAGTTCAGTGTGCTATGGTAGAGGGTTGGTTTTTTTTTTTTTTATGGTGCTGGAATTTGAACCCAGGATTTATGCAAAGTACTTTCCACTAAGCTACATTTCCAGCTCCCAATTTTTTTTTATAATATATATATAGATACACACACACACACACACACACACACACACACACATATATATATATTAATTTGTACCAAGCTTGTTTTACATGTCAATCCCAGTTCCCTCACCCTCCCCTGTCCCCCTCCCAACCCCCATCCCATCCCCTACCTGCTCCCCAGGGAGGGTGAGGCCTTCCATGGGGGATCTTCAAAGTCTCCATATCATTTGGAGCAGGGTCTAGGCCCTCCCCCATATGTCTAGGCTGAGGGAGTATCCCTCTATGTGGAATGGGCTCCTAAAGTCCATTCGTACACTAGGGATAAATACTGATCCACTACCAGAGGCCCCATAGACTGTCCAATCCTCCTAATTGACACCCATGTTCAGGGGGTCTGGGTCGGTCTTATGCTGGTTTCCTAGCTATCAGACAAGTCCATGACCTCCCCCTTGTTCTGGTCAGCTGTTTCTATGGGTTTCTCCAGCCTGATCTTGACCCCTTTGCTCATCACTCCTCCCTGTCTGCAACTGGATTCCAGGAGTTCTCCAACCCCCAGTTTAATTTCAACACTGAAACAAGTGTTTGTTTCCAAATCTCAGTCTTAATACTGAAGATACAAGTGAAGGAAATAAGTGTTCATTATTGTGCTCTCAGTATTCTACCTCACAAGTGACGGAGACATGGTTTAAGTAGCATTCTTAACCACATAGAAAGTTCAAACTGTGACTTTGGAGTTTTGTTCTAGATCTTTGCTTCCCAGAAGTCTGCTTTTCCTGGGAACTTTGGGAAGTTTAAATACCCAGAGACTTCAGCTGCTTTAGCGTCGCTTCATCCTTTGGTTGACAGTGATGTCTTGTTAGTGTAGGCAGAAACATTAGATCAGCAAAAGTCGATTAGTTGCTGTGTGTGTATAGGGTTAGATAGAGAAGAAGAGCTATGTTCTGATGGTAATGTATTCAACTCTAGAAAAACTAGCCCAGGTAGAGAAGTAAGTCATGCTTAGCTACTATAATAGAAGCCCTGCTGAGGTGTTTTCAGCATAGTAGCTGGCCAGTATTGATAGGGAAGTTTGTGGGAATTAAATTTTCTTTATATTATTTCCTTGTATTCACCTTCTTTCTGCTGTTTGTTAAATGTGTCTGTACCCCCTAGGTGTTGTACTAATACTTAAAAATTCTTTTATAACTATCAACTCCTCTAAGAATGGGTAGTGAAGAAAAAAAGAATCTCCATGCCTGCTTCCGGTAGTTAAAGATGTCCCCAGCCACGACCTTATTGAAGTTCAAAAATGTGTGTTTCTGCTGAGCCTTTTGGCATGCACCCATATAATCCCAGTTTTTCAGGAGGATGAACCAGGAGAATTGCAGTCCAAGTCTAGTAGGCACTTAAGAAAATGCAGGGCGGCTTAAGTGGTAGGGCACTTGCCCTGGGCTCCATCCTTGTACCACAAAGAATGGGAAGAAGGAGGGGAGAAAAGAGGAGGAATGTATGCATCTCTTACTAAGAGACAGAAACTTATCCAGAGATGGATGTGGCTGGTTCTCTTTCAGATTTGCTTTGTTTCTGAGCTCTTTTCTTCCTATAAAACAGGAATTCACAGTTCACTCCTTGCTAAGCATGTATGGACTCAGGTTTGGGAAGTCGACACTCTTCCACGTTCTCACCTTGTTTGTTGTGATCAGTAGAGAGTCATTTATCATGGACTCTTGCTCCTGCCTTTTAACTCCTTGGGAACATAATCCAGTAGTTAAGTTTTTTTTTTCATCTTTATTAAAAGAATCAGTACTCAGGTATAGACCAAATCCAACTTGGTTCTATAGCTTATTGCTGTTGATATAGGAGTCAGAGTGTGGGCAATAACAGGTAGCTGGCCCGCCTGCTGCTCCTGACTAATTTTGACTTTAGGCTTCAGGGGGAGTCTTTGGAGGGGGGCAATAATCCCTTCCCCAGCAAGAACAGAGGGTTATTTGTCATTTCCCTGTGACTTTCTTCTGTGCCACCACTAGGTGGCACTCACACAATTGTATCTTTATTAGTAATCACATCTTTTTGCTGTTGCTGTTTTTTGAGACAGGGTCCTTAGCATTGGCTGGCCTGGAACTCACAGGGAAGTTTTGCCTTCATGTCATGATTGCTGGGATTACAGGTGTACAACACTATGTCCAGCTAATGTTAGGAAAGTTCACAGTTTCTGCCACTTAAATGACTAGAAACAGTATTTTAAGAGCTCAGCCTACTTCCCCTGGTCAATGAGTCTCTTTGTAGAAAGATGTCTATTCTGTCTATTTCTAAATGTGTATTAGAGCCAAAGGTATTGTTCACACACCTACTGGGATTGTTTTCCTGTCCTTATTAGCTTGTTAAGGATTTTGAGGAGGGTGAGACCGTTAACACAAAGCGTTTGGGAAGTTCCTAGTGATCTAAAACCGTAAATCTACCCATTATCTAGGTTTTAAGGGATCCAGCCCATACGGTAATGTTCTACGTGTATTTTGTGTTGTTACTTCTGTCCCCAGTGCTGTAAAATGAGCTTGTAAGTATCCTTTTTTATGCCTTGACATACTGAGGGTCTACAGAATCTGATATCATGCCAAGTTTCTGTTGCCACAGGAAGCGCCACAGTCTCAAATCCTTTCCCATCTCCCATATTCCAGTCTCTTAAGAGTCTGTGTATTTTATTCTGTCTTCCAGCTAAGTACTCGAAAGTGTTTTATTGTGCTCTGTAGAATTGATGGTCGGTTCCTAGCACAGCATCGTGTGTCAGCACTGGACTTCCCTCAGCAGTGCGTTCCCTTTGGGTCTCCGCTGTTTTCTTCTGTCACCCTCACTCCAGCAGACCTAGTTGGTGCCCATTTTGTTCTCTGCCCTCACCTTCAGACCCTTCTGCTTTTCTCTACTAGAAACCAACAATTTGGAATCTGAGACCATTTTATGTCACCCACTTCCCTCTATTGACACTGTAAATTATTCTTGAGCTCTCCACACAGTGTTATTGACCATTCGTCATTCTTCCATGCTACTTGTAACTTTCCACAATATCATCCTTTGTTAAAAATTATTTAGTGAGTGCATGGATGTGTGCATGCTACAGTGCGCATGTGGAGGTCACAGGACTTTCAGGAACCAGGTCTCTTCTGCCATGTAGGCCCCTTATCAAAAAAACTCAGGTCATCACGCTTGGTGGCAAGTGCTCTGCCCACTGCACTATCTCCCAGCCCTGATTTCCCCCAGTTCCTATATAAATGGTCATGATTCTAGTAAGATTCTTGCTGCACAAGTCTCTCAGTTACTCCACTCTTTCTCACTTTTCCTCTCCTGTGCTCATTATAAATATAATTTGGCTTGGTGTTTTACCACCTGTGCTGGTCCTGTGTGCTCCCCCGACCCACATTTACAATACTGAGATCAAAGCTGGGCCTCACACAGCTGGTTGAGTGTTTACCACTAACAGCACATCTCCAGCCCACTCTCTTCTCTTCAGGATGGTGACCCCAGCCTGTCTCACCTCCTTGATGACTTCACTCCTCACCTAAAACTAACCTTCATAATAATCATTCCTCTGGTGGTTTTCTTCCATTGAAGGTCTCTCTCATTTCATCATGGTTAGTTAGCAAAACCATGATTCTTGTTAATTCTATGTTCTCATTATATCTATAGCTGTATATCTATAATTATTACTGGAAGAGACCATACACTACCCTTCCCTTCCTGGGTACACTTTCTTCTCTTAGCTTCCCAGATAGTAAGTATTCTTATTTTTATCTCATCGTCTGTTCTTGCTCCCCTACTCAGTCTGTTTCATTGCTTGGTCTTTGCTACTTCTAGACAGTTGTATTTTAAGTATTTTGTGTGTGGGGGGGGGGCATTGATTTAGTTGGTTTTTGATACATGTTTCCCATGCTGACCTTGAACTCAGTAACATAG